AGAGAGAGTGTGTGTGTGTGTTTGAGTGTGTGTCTGTGTGTACACAGACGTCCGCACACTCGCGGCCCCAGGATCAGCGCCTGGAAGCAGACTTTTCGGCCACAGACTTGGAGAGGAGGAGCTGGAGATCAGGAGGGCGTGAGCCGCCAGGAGTTTGCAGAATCCGTGGTGTGAATGAACTGGGGGCACCTGGGCGCGCACGGATCACCCCCCCCTTTCGCCTCAGGCCATAGTTGAGTAGTGGGGCATTTTTTTTCACCCTCTTGTGAAGAATTTTTTTTATTATTTGTTGTAAAGTCTTTTGCACAATCACGCCCACATTTGGGGTTGGAAAGCCCTAATTACCGCCGTCGCTGATGGACGTTGGAGAGGGAGCGCCTCGCCGCGGAACAGTCGCCTGCGCGCCCTCGCCGGACCCGCGGCTCCCTTGTTGCGCCCCGGCCCGGCTCAGTCTCTGCTGCGGGTCGCGGGGCTTCCGCGCCCCCTCGGATCCCGGGCACATCCCAGCGCCGCTCAGACTCGGGCCCCCAGACCCGGGCTCCAGGAACCGCTTCGGCTCCGATTCCCTGCGCCTGCGGGACGCGCCCAGTGGGAGCCCGCAGCTCTGCGTCGGATCGTCCCCCCAGGCTTAACCGGCCGCTCCGCTTGGATTCCTCTGCTGCCCTTGCTCTGGTGGCGACTTCCTCTTCGGGCCCCCTCCCCCTCACCATGAAGGTAGGTGTTCTTTGCTCCTCCGACGCTCGCCACTTTTTTTTTTTACCTTTACTTTTTTTTCTTATTGAAGTTAACTGAATCCCCCTCCTCCCCAACCCCCACTATCCCTTCCTCCATTTCTCCTTTCGCCTCGAGAGAATGGAACTCCCGCGGGGCTGGCAGGGACCCCTACCCTTCGCCCCCTACCCCCTGCGCACTACCTCTGTCTCCCTGAGACCTCTTCTTGTCTCACCAAACGTTCTGTAAGCCTTTTCGACTTTGGAGAAAGGGTTTCTAAGAGCCAAGGCAGAAAAACAGTGCGGTTCACAGACGACTTGACTCCCCTTTGGCCCTGAGAAACTCGAGTGTACTTACTATGTATATTTCAGTAACAGGATAATGATTCAATTCAACAAATATTTACCAAGTGCCCACTGCGCGGGCACCGAGGAGGTGTGTGGCCAGGGCTTGGAAAGGGGAAGTGGCCTCCTTGGTTGGGAGACTGGGCAGCCGGACTAGGGGCCAGCTGCTCCAGAGAAGCGCACCCCTCGCCCTCTGTAGCCAGAGAGCTGGCCAGGTTGCAGGCTCGTCCTGACCAGGGAACCCTAGTGCTGCAGGCCCTGTACCTTTAAGAGTGCCTGGCGGGGGGCCAGTGCGCACCCCGGCTTGGGGAGCAGGGTCGCGTTATTAGCATTATTAGCCGCCACTGGGTGAGCTGGGCACTTAGCAGCGGTGCTGGGGGCGGGGAGTCCTGGCGGTGGTGGCTCTAATCCCGTCCGCAGGGAAATCGCGCCCAGGCCCCCTGCGCGGGATCCGCCTCGTCCTTTGGAAACATTTGGGCCTCTGGGTTGGGAGAGCAGGCGGGGGGCAGTTTGTGAACTCTTGTTTGTTTTAATTGTCAGTTGTATGTTAAAGCCGAGTCACACACTCCGAGGGTCACCGAGAGTTCACTTTTAGGAAAAGTTAACATTTCTTCCTGCAATATAACTTGCTATTTTTCAAATAACTTTTCCTCTCTCTGTCCCCCAAGCTTCTATCCTTCCATTTTTGGTGATCTCTCCCATTTTCAGCTTTCCAGAAAATAAGGTTGAAATGGAAATGAGGATGTTTCCTAAAACCAAGCAAATTCTCCCTCCCGAAAAAAAGGTTTTAAAAACCCGCAAACCGGGAGACCCCCGCGGCCTTGTTTTACTTTCTAAACCTAGTCCGGCATGGGGCCCCTTCTCCTCTCTTCTTTCTTTAAATGGACAACTCGCTGTTTGGAAGTCGCTTGTAGCCAGCGGTGCGATCACACCTCCTCAGCCCCTTGCCCGGCCGCCAACGCTCTCTGTGGCTCAGCCAGATGCGGAGATTTAGTTTCTAACAGCCTCTGCCAGGGGAGTTCCGAGAGGGTAATGCTGAGAGCGCGCAGACGATGGAGAGGCAGCGGAATTGTGTGTCCTGCGTGTGTGGGTTTGTGTCCTGCGTGTGTGGAAGAAGTAAAAGGTCAGTTGTTCTTGGGTGTACTAGCCTTAGTCCCGCACCGCCCCACAAAGGAGAACCCTCCCTCCCCCCCCGGAAGGCCGACCCAAGACTCTCTGGCCATTTCCCTCCCCTCATTGGAGCGCTCCAGTGCACAAGGGGTTAGCACCGTGCGTCGGGAGCTCAGCTTTTCCCGCAGTCTTTTCTTCCCTGCCGTGCGGTGCCGGCTGCCCCCTGTTGGCCGCCTTGAGGTAGGACACCTCAGATTCAGTTCGGTGGGGCCAGTGGGTTCGCCTCTAGCTCCCACCTCTGGCTGCGCACATTCTATCCCACTCTCTCAGGGGAGGGCCGCTCAGAGGCCCCCAGAGGACCCGTTGCGCTGCGCCGAGACGCCACCGCAATGCGGAAGAGGCCGAGGGCACGACCCAGCAAACGGGGCTTGGGCGAGTGGAGCAAGAGCTGGTACCTCTTCTCCAAGGCGTTGGAACAAGAGCGTTGCCCTCTAGGAGGCCTCGGGTCTGGTCTTGGCGCTCTCACCAATTTTCTCTGTAATCAAGGACAAGTGTTGCTTTCTCTGGTCCTCAGTTTCTTGTCTATTAAAAAGTGCAGTTGAAACTGCCTCTGAAGAGAGGTTGCTGGGGCTTGAACTGATGCTTAATTTTCTTTCTCCTTCCACCGGACTCTGCTCTTCCTCTGGATAAAGTTGAGAGCCCGTGCTGAGAGTTAGACATTTCGTGTGAGAAGGTAGGAGTGGTGTGTGTGTGTGTGTGTGTGGGGGGGGGTCTGGAGAGCCTTGTCCCAGGGGTGGACGACTGAAGGCCTGGAACAGACAGAACTAGACTTGGCTACGATACCTCCCTTGGAGACCCCTTGCTACTGGACCTGCTGTTGGTTTTGAGTCAGGGCGATCACAGGCTGCTCATGTTCCTTGCAATGATTTGGGCTCTGAAAGTTCCCTACATCCTCTCTCTCCCCACCCCATCCCGCCACAGCGCTGTGGATACGTCCCGGCAACGCTGGGCGGCCGCAGCGCCCCCCCCCCTCCCCAGGCTAGAGGCATAGGGGGTGCTGGCTCCTTGTTTGCTCCCCCAAAGCGGACCTCCTATCAGCCTTGACCGGCTCATCCTCCCCTCCCCTCCCACTTCTCTTGGCGTTCCTGAAGCAGGACAGCCCAACACAACAATCGAGTTTTCCTCCCGCAGTTTTCTCCATCTTTCTCCTTGCTTCGGGGAGAGATCACAGTGGGGAAAATACGTTTTATTTCCCACCAAGAACTGTGATTCTTGGAGTTTCCTACCCCTTTCGACACCGTGAGTCCAGGTCAAACTCACTTCCTCCAAGTTGGTCTCCCTCATCATTTCCACTTCCAGAGACTTTTATTGGGGAGGGGGGTGGGGGGGGACCGGGACGCAAAGAGCCTGGTGGAAGGGGATGCCCAAACTGAGTGAGGCAGCACCGGTGGCCCAGGGTCCGGGATATTTGCCCTGCCTTTGTGGAACTTTCTTTTTAGGGGCGGCGGGCGGAGGACTCTCGGAGGTTTGCGAGTGCGTCGCAGTGCTTTCCGAGGCATGCGAACCTTTTCCAAACAGCTTGCTGGTTTCCTCTCTCTTACCTCCTATCACTCCACGCCCGCAACCCAGTTGAAAAGAAGGGTTAGGGACACCTTTCATCTAATGCGAAAGCTTTGGAGGAGAGACAGAATAAGCAGCCGCTACAATTCGCTGCTCTGGGCTGGAAACAAGGGAGCACTGACGTTCTCACCCCCAACCTCCCCCCTCCCCTGCGCTAGAAACTCTCAAATGCACCCTCCTTCCCACCCCACACAGGGAACAGGTTCCGAAGTCCTCACAAAGTCAGCTTTCCCGGGCCCTGAACGCTTTTGAAAACCTTTAGTCCCTTCTTGGTAAACTTAGCTTCTGCCTAGAAGTTTTGATTTGCCCTCGCTGGGTGTACCAGTCTCCGGAGAGGTCTCCTTTCCTACTGTCTTTTCGGATCAGATCTCTTCGTAAACAAGGCAGGGGTGTTTGCCCAACAGAGTCCATGTATTTCTTAGTGAGTTCGCTGTAGGTTCCTTAAATGTTTCAAACTCGTGGGGCCTTTTCTGGGCTGCTCGGGGGTTTGCTTGGGGAAGAGGGCCAAGGTGTTTCCGGGCAAGCGCGCGGGGTTAAGTGGCGACGCGACTCGCCCGGCTCTCCTGCGGATCCCCTTGGGGATACCTTTGGCTGACCCCCAGGCTGGAGCTGGGGAGACCCGGCTGGCAGACACCCAGTGACCCACTACCAGTTGGCCCCAGCTCTGGGACTAGGTGGACTTTTCTCGGGGTCGTCGGCCGAGAGTGGGTTCGGTTTGTGTGGCTTCCCCTCTAACAAAGAGATCCCCTGTAATCCGCCGAATCTGTTATCAATTTCTC